GTCAGGAACTGTTGATATTCAAGTTCTCAGAGAAACATTTCAATTAGTATTGATGAACCTAATAGTTAACATAATCATCATCATTATTTATTAAAACTTTATTTAGGCATAGTGAATGAAATCAGAAAATAGCAAAACTTCATTCAGGAAAAAAAAGTGTTCTGAGAATTATAGATTATACATTCATACCTTCATCTATAATGACCACTAGTGGTATTTAATAAAGCTTCAAAATTCTTTCTTTTAAATGTACAAAAGTCACCCAGATACCTGGGAACTCCTTCACGGAACTGCAATCAGTCAATATGGAAAGTTAATTACTGCAGAGAAAAAGAGCAGGTTAGGTTTAACTGAGGCCGGAGTTCAGCTGCCAGAAGACAGGCCAGTCCAGGAACTTGAAATTGAGGAGGAAGGAGTTCAGACAGGGAGCCAAAGAAGGCCAGCGTGGAAACCGGCAGCTGCAATTGGACATTTTACTTAATTTATTTACAAAGAAGTTTATTGCTCTTTATGAAGCTATGCATTCTTGTTATGCTAATCACAGTTTTGCATCTGTAAAAAGAGAATAGAATGTTATCGTATTCCTCACAGGGTTATGAGAGATATAAGATATAATAAAGTACTTCTAGCTCTTCGAAGGAAAAATGGTTTAAATTGGACATGTTTAGCATTTTGCTAACGCTCCCCTGAGTATGACCTTCTGAGCATGAACGGCCCAGGCTTAACAAAGATTAGTGTCTGCCCTCTTAGAGGAAACCAAAGAAAAGATTGCAAACTTAGAAAATAAATAGATATGAAGCAATAGATTATTTGCATTACACAAGGATTCTTGATTTTACTGAACAATTTACCAAAGAATTCCTTTAAGCAGAGTGCCCTTACTGCACCTGAAGTGTGAGAGAATTCAAGGTCATATCTAGTATGCTTTATGCCCAGATCCTTCATAGGAACCCAGGATATCAGAGAGAGGTCTGTATGTCTTCAATCTCTGTCTGAACCAGTCAACTCTCTCCTGGCAATTATTCCATATTCTCCATGTGTGCAGGTTTGCAGAGTTTTGAGGAATTGAATGCACTGCTCTATGGACTTCGATATGGATTCAGCTGTTCTCACGTGGTCAGAAAAAGTATTAAAGTCATATGTTTTTAACATGCAGATATTTCTGGAGAGCTTTTTTTCCCCCCTGCTACTCATCAGAATCGAAAATAGCACCATAGCGAATGGCAGCAGGTGCTCGCACCACGTGCTTTGAATGGAGTCATTTTTCATTAGAATTAGACTGGCACAAAGAGCTGTCAGTTTCAGAGCCTTCTAATTGCTCCTCATTGTTCTCCTCCCTCTGAAATTGGCAGTGCCCACCTTCAGTGGGGCTGCTTCGGCAGAACTAGAATACGGTGTTCTGAGGCAGGCAGGGAAATGCCAGAAGCTGCCAGTGGCTGAGACAATAAGGATGACTCATTCCATCAGAGTTTGAAAAGGATGGCCAGTGCTCTTCATAGAAATTACCTTTTAGAAGTCTTTTTTTTTTTTTTTTTTTTGAGTCAAATGAAAGCATGTTAATGGAACTTCTTTGGTATGACTAGATTAGCCTGAATATTAGTGTTCTTTCTGAGTGTCTGCACCTTCCCCACTTAGAATGGGGTTCGGGGACAACACATTGTAAGGAAAGTGTGACAGAAGAAGTTTGATCTCAGTTGAGTCTTAAAGACATGGTAGAACTGGGGTAGGCAGGAATGGAAACAGACTTCATCCGAGACAGCCGAGCAAAGGTAAATGCTCAAGAAGATGCTCTATAAACCTCGGTGGAAGGAG